GCAACATAACAAGACCCTGTCTCTACACTCGGATAGAGAACACCCCTTCTAGGAAGCCTTCCCTCGAGTGCACAAAGCAGGACACAGCACACAGCAGCACACACAACCTCCAGCAGGATCTCATCAGATCTGTCTGTGAACCCCAGTGCCTAGTACCGGCTGTCTCACCCTCTCTGAGCCTTCCTGCATGAGGAGAGACAGACACCACAGCCCCGCCCCCGCCACGTGGTACCAGCCCCACAATGGGGAGCAGGATGGCAGGTGAAGCCCCCCACCTTGAACACATCAAGGCACATTCTAAGGTCTGCACACTTGGCAGCCATCTTCAGCAGCGCGTGGTACGTTTTCAAGTTGAGTTCGATGTTTTTGGCCTGCAGCTGCTGCCGGAGTTTCAGGGCGCTCTGCAGAGCCGAGTCCTTCCAGGGGGACTCGGCACAGACGTTGAACAGGGCCGTGTAGGTGGCGTCTGAGGGCTCCAGGTCCCGCTTTTTCATCTGTGGAGATGGAAGCAGCTCAGTGGTGGCCTGGGATCAGCTGGACGCACAGGTGAGCAGCCGCCCCAGAGGAGGCTGAGGCTGGAGAGGACCCCATTACTGCATACACCAGGCCAGGCTCTAAGGCAGAGCCATGGGACACATCAGTGCCCAGCTCTCCAAACTCAGACACATTGAAGGGACTCTGAAAACTGAGCCCACACCCCCATATGTACCAAACAGAAGCTATCCTGCCCTGGGCACCTGTCAGCCCACTCCAGGCCTGGGGTCCTGGCAGCAAGGTCTTCCTGATGCCCCACCTTCAGGCCACCCAGTCAAGGGGGAAAGGGGCTATAGTGCTTACTACCTGAGGGTTCCTGGGCAAGTTAGCGCTTCCTTGTGAAAATGGGGATGACACCATCACCTTGAAACCAGGGATGCCTGTGGCAAGTGGGAGGGTGCACTGCAGTGCTCTAGGGGTGGCCCCGAACCACTGGCACAATGCACATTCTCAGGGCCACCTCATCTGGTGAGTCACAAGCCCCGGAGGTGAGTGACACTCAGCTTATTGAGCCTCCGGGGGACTAAGGCAGGTGCTCAGGGTTGACAATCCCTGGTGAAGCCTAGCACTTGCAAATGCCCAGAGAAGGGTCATCTGGTCGAGGGCAGGTGACAGGCGGCTCAGTGGCAAAAAGAACCCTGCTAGAGTCAGGCCATTTGGGGCTCAAATCTCAGCCCTGGTGCATTCAAGTGCAGTGGCCTTGGACATGTCCTTTCATCTCTCTGTGCCTCAGTTTCCTTATCTGAAAAGCAAAGATGGCAGTCCCTACTTTGAGAATGATGTAGGCTCTGTGTGTATTGCTGCACTCCACAGAGGTGCACTGACAACTCGCTACCCGCCCAGCACCAGCCCTGGGGTTAGCAGAGCGGGCACAGCCTGTCCTTACTGAGCTGACACTCGAGAAGGCAGACACACTGCAGGTGAGTTACCAAAAACAGTAACAAGGCTGGGTGCTGTGGCTCACGCCTATAATCCCAGCACTTTGGAAGGCTGAGTGGGGCAGATCACCTGAGGTCAGGAGTTCGAGACCAGCCCAGCCAACATGGCGAAACCCCGTCTTCTATAAAAAATACAAAAAAATTAGCCACGTGTGGTGGTGGGCGCCTGTAATCCCAGCTGCTCGGGAGGCTGAGGCAGGAGAATTGCTTGAACCTGGGAGGTGGAGGTTGCAGTGAGCCGAGGTTGTGCCACTGCACTCCAGCCAGGCTGACAGAGCCAAGACTCCCGTCTCAAAAAAATAAATAAA